ACAGCCACGCACGACCCCACCGGTAAACCACCGCCTCGGATAATTGCTTCTCCTTAAGTGTGTCGGCGAGCAATACACACGCAACGCCTGAATGCGACCCAGCTCTCAGCAACAGGTCCAATTGCGGCGTCGGAGGTTTTTTTTTCGGGCGCGGCGAGGGCCCGCTGCTGGGTGGGGTGGGGGGGGGGGGGGTGGGTGAAGGGGGAGGCGGCGGCAGAAATGTTTAGAAATCAGAATTTCGAAAGTAGCTTCGAATCCTCGGTTTTTGTAAAGCGCTTCTTTCTTTTTTGTGCGTTGACTTTTAGGTGTATAAGAACTTGTTTTCAGTTCAGAGTTACTTGTTTTTGCAAAGCCAACAGCAAACGCTAAATTCTGAATGTTGACAAAGCAAGGAACGTTAACCTGCAGGCAAACACCGGGAGCCGTGAGTGCGTGCGAGCTGAACCGAAGGCAAACCTCGAGGCACGCGTCAAGTGTTTGTGCGCCGCGACAGCCCTGGAACTCCCGTCGGCGGTTGATGCTCGAACAGGAGGTCGAGTCGGGCCGCGTCGGGAGGAACCTCGACGCCCGCCCTCCGCCGTTGTTTCCGCCGCTCCTGGGGGGGGGGGATTCCATTTAAGTTAATGGAGGAGATGCCGTTCATTATATTCCTTAACGATAAAGGAGGTTTCTACCAGCTGATATTTTAGTCCGAATATGCAACTAGGAAATACGTATTTCGTGCGTATTATATCCAGTGCTTAAAGGGAGATCAGTATTTAATGCGCTTTCATGAGGCGAAGTCTGTCGTATCTACATACTTGAATTACGTAGAAGAAATACAGTAAATGGAATTATTCCTGCAGCCTAGTACCACTAAAATACCGTCTTTTATGTATCTTATTTATTCTATTTTATCGTTTCGATAACCATTGTGAAGATAAAAAGATTTCAAAATATATTTTTTCTACAGTGACGCAGTGTCCAAAATCATTAAAGGATATGTATAACTGCTAAATAAGTTAAGGAGAAAATAGAGATTTGGCAGCTCAAAGGTTCTCACCCCACATGACTTTGTTTGATCCAGCTCCATCAAAGACGAAATAAAAATGAAGAAAGGTGAAATAGGAAAAAAACAATGTGAAAAACGGGTTCCCGAATTAAAACTGGCGCGGACTTTTAAGCAGCTTCCTTTTTGTGGAACAATTTCTGGATATTTTTAGACGCTTTACCTTTGATAATAAGAAACATTAAAACGCTACTCAGAAGTAGTGTTCCTATTACGGTAAAACAAAGAGCCGGTTGTCAGGTCACTTTCACCATTATAAAGGATAGGTTTAATCTTATGTCCTCTCCGGGAACGAGGCTTGTCATCCTTTATAAGGGGCATCACTTATGGCAGATTAAGGGACCAGGAAGACACGGGATTTAAATTTTGGTCTTTTTCGTGGAAGCCGCTCTGAGTAGCTTCGGGAGAATTAAAGGTCTGTTCCCTGCCAGCTCGAGAAGTAACTCTTAGCTACTGGTATTACATAGCATTGTACTGTCTAGAATAGATTGCCACAGGATGCGTATGATATGTTAGAAAATAAACAGTTTGTTTAGACCTGTTACCCACGGATTCTGAAATGAGAACAGTCGTGTCGAGAATTTTCATTAACAAAAACCAACAAAATAATAGCTAGAGACATTAGGAAAATAGCCAGAAGGGGAAACACTAGCATGTACTGCACAGAGCCCCGTCTTCTGTAATCCTGCAATTCTAGCTTGGGTTTAGGTATTGATCAAAACAGAACTGGGTACAGTATTTATTTTCCGAATACAAAGGAAACCGTCAATTAAGGAATTCAGTTATGAATTGCTGTCCTTTTCAGATTTCACTCTGTTTAGACGGTCGAAGTGGATTGCTTGCTAAACACTGACACGCTTTCTAGGTGAGCGACTCAACACAAGGCTGGCACTGTCGATCACATGTTTCCTTAGTTCTACGATTAATGGAAGAAGTGTGGAGCTGGATAAACGCAGGTGGATATAGGGAATGACAATACTTAAGTGTTTTAACCAACAAATTCTGTTTTATTGGTATTCCTGTCAAGTGAAAAAAATATGAACGTTAGCATGTGTGTGTGCCTTGGTGTACCACGTTCAGAAATGATTTTAGCCTGAAGAGTTGTCTCGGGACAGCAGAAATTCCCGAAAACAATTTCCCTTGCTCTGCGGGCCGCTCTGAATAAATCAATTAGCCCAGAATAGCAGAGGCCTTTCATTCCTTTGCAATTTGTCAAGTGAGATAATCAGAACATTGCAGCAGTAGCGACTACTTGCAGCAATCAGTGAAAAAAAAAAGTTTCGCATCTCTCAGTAGTTGCAGTTGCAAGTCCGGCAAAAAGACTGAGACCTGAAATTCCTCGTTGCAGGAGCGGTGTGATGCTGAAGGTTTTGGTCGTCTTGGTGACCTGCCTCGTCGCCTCCACCGCCGCCCTGAAGCACTCGTGGCAGACTCCAGGCTGTCACAAAGTCG